AATTAATGCAAACCCTGCTCTACATGAAGTGTATTTTTCCTTTAAAAAAAAAAAAGAACATTTTACCCTTACCATATATAAAGCATGAGGGAGGAAAAGACCCCTTTCCCTATAACTTAGTTTTTGAGGTTGTTGCTTTTTTCTCCCTCCTGCTCTGCCAGCTACCATAGCAACTTGCTGCTGCCTTTGGTAGATATCATATAAGAGTTTCGTCCAAAGAACATAGCAGTGCCACTAGTAGAAAATGCCCTGTGCATGGGAAGGGTATATCTATCCTTGTCTCCCAGTGCATCTCACTGAACTTCAAGAGTATCAACCATTACAGCACAAAATAACAATCACCCCACAATGCAACAATTTTCACCCAATAATGTTATATAATAGTTTGCAGTACAGGAGTCACAAGGTATGGGCCTGATCTTGCAAAGCTTTACTCGAGTGACTTCAGTGGGGCTATTTACATGCTGAAGGGTTTGACTGCAACCTAGTTCCTTCACCTGGTGATATCTTAATTTGTAAACTCCTTGAGGAAGAGCCCATTCTTTCTGTGCCTAGCACAACTGAACTCTGATTAGGATTGCCACATGCTACTGCCACACAAATAATAGTATGTATAGCAACATGATACATTCTTAATGATAATACTTGGAAGAAGTCATACTGTAGTGCATGAATACTGAATTAATTAGTACAAGCAAGGAACATTTGAGGTATCAGGAATACCCATGCAAATTTATGCAACTGCAATAATAAGTGTTAAGTCATTTAGGCTTTCTCCCAGGACAAAGCCTTTTATTCTGGAACCCTGCAGATGTACAAGGCCATTGTTCTAGTTTTAGGACTTAGAAAGTATCTGATATAACACTTTTTCCCAGAATAATTGGAGAGAATTTGAGTTAAATACCATTCAAGGTACACGTGTAGACAACTGTCCCCACTCTTGTCATGATGCAAGTTAAAGCCCAGGACACTTAGATCCAAGAGAAACCAGATGTCTGTTTTGACCCTCACTAACATTATGATTGTGTGCTCTATGTTCTGAGAGATTCAATCAAGTTTGAAACTCATCCTTAAGACTTTGAAATTTCCATTAAAAAACAAAACCCCAGCAAATTTGGGGTAATTTACATCCTTTCCTCCAGTAAAAATTGGGAGGAAAGGAGGAATTTTCAAAATGGTTTTAAAACTCCTGCTGTTTCGGGATCTCCATTCACTGAACGGGGCTTATGTTCCCCATAGTTAGCAATGATATTTTAATAACTTTGTGCAAGACAGGCTGAATTGGAGGAATCACAGGGCGGAAACAGCTTTCCCACCATAAAAAGATAAGAATCAGTGCATGTGAAAGCTTTTGCAATGTGAGAGTGATGGGCTTCATGTTCTCCTTATATGTGAATCCTAGAAAGGGAGCGTTAGAAGTCAAGATGGGGAGCTTTAGTTACTGGGTATTAAGGGTAAAAATTTGCCCTATGGAAGTCACTGACTTTGTTAGGACCAATGTTTTACCAGAGATGCTTGGGGAAGTAGGCTGAATAGAGTACCAGCCCCCATCTCCATTCTTCACTGGTGTTGGCATGGCCATCTTAAGCCAGTGGAATCGTGCCCTTGCAGAGCCTTCAACAGGTTCCAAGGAGATGCAAAAATGAGTGCATATTGATCCACGTATTCTTTAGCTTATACTAGAGAATTTCTTTCTTATTTTCTATTTCTGCTTTGTGGATAATTAATCTTAGAAAAATTGAAATAGCAGCATAAGTCATATCTACATCCAGGGCATAGTTACACCACATGGACTCATAAAAAAAGAGTTAAAATATAGAATAATCAATCTAATAAAAAAATTATTTTGAAAAACTATTGTATTTACCTTAGACTTAATAGTCAATATTTTTAAAATTTGGGACCTAAGAATTAGTCACCTAAATAAGGGGCCTGATTTTCAAAGGTGCTTAAAACCCTGTATCTCCCATTGACTTCAGTGAGTGCACATCATCTGTGACAACCAGGCTCCTAGTTTACTTGACTAATTATGAATTGAATCATCCAAATTTGAAAATTGTATCTAGTAATTTTATTTCTGATTGTCTACATTAATCTTACTCTCATTTCTCCTAAATAAATCTACCATTTAACTATGTTTCATTGTTATATTTTTTTTTCAGGTGTCATTCTGTTCACTGTTTGCAAAGCAATACAGTGATTGCCTGGTTTCAGCAAATTTTGGGGGGTGCATGAAAAGATGGGGTACAGTGTTTTGACTATTTTATAGGGATGGCATATTTTAGAATATAATATAATGCATTCCCCAAACATACAGACTACCAACGCTTGAAGTACAGTGGTACTGAGAGAAAGAAAGAAAGAAAGAACAATTTAATGTCTATAATAGGCAGGATCCTGTACTGAGATCCTCGTGTGTGGGTTCCAGAACTGGCACACAGCACATTGAAGAAGTAGGGTTTTGTTTGGTAGTGCAATGGCTATGAAGTGGTAAGCTTGCATCTTGCAATCATTTTGGAATATATGGTTTCTGTGCTTAGGGAAGAGGAGGAATGTGACAAGCACATTGAGGAAGGGAGTTTGAGAATAGAACAGTCTAATGCAAAGGAGCTGTTACAAACTTTGTGGATTAATGGGAAAAAGAACCCTGCTTGGATGCCTAGACCTCTTCGTCACAGAATAGAAAGTTTAAAAATTGGCTATTATTCATCTTGCTACCTCAATTTTAAAACCAAAGGGCCAAATTCTGTTGCATTGAAGGCAATGACAACATTCCCATGCATTGGGATTTGGCCCAAATTGAATTAAAACACTGAATAACCTATGAGTAATGTATGTACTCAGCTATGGCAAGGCCTATATTTTGACCTCTCTTAAATACTAGTCCTAGGCAGATATAAAATTCAATACCCCTGAAAATATACACACTGTGGAAATCAGGATCTAGTCTAAATAATCTGAAATTGATGGCAAATTATAACACTAAGCAACTTTCTTCAGTGGCCATAGTAATATATACATGTTGCACAATTTGATAATAATAGATGTAAACCAAGCAAAATCTTTTCAAATTAATGTTTCTAATTCTAATCCTCATGGAACATTAAAATTTGGAGATTGAGAGGCATTTAGTGTCATTTTAAAATAGATATGAAAATATTTTAAAATGTGTTTAGAAGCATATCTAAAAATGAAAAATATCAATCACAAATAGTTTAAACCAGTGGTTCTCAAACTTTTTTTGTACCCAGACCCATTTGTAAACATCAATGGCCAGTCCCCAAATTTGAAAATTGTATCTAGTAATTTTATTTCTGATTGTCTACATTAATCTTACTCTCATTTCTCCTAAATAAATCTACCATTTAACTATGTTTCATTGTTATATTTTTTTTTCAGGTGTCATTCTGTTCACTGTTTGCAAAGCAATACAGTGATTGCCTGGTTTCAGCAAATTTTGGGGGGTGCATGAAAAGATGGGGTACAGTGTTTTGACTATTTTATAGGGATGGCATATTTTAGAATATAATATAATGCATTCCCCAAACATACAGACTACCAACGCTTGAAGTACAGTGGTACTGAGAGAAAGAAAGAAAGAAAGAACAATTTAATGTCTATAATAGGCAGGATCCTGTACTGAGATCCTCGTGTGTGGGTTCCAGAACTGGCACACAGCACATTGAAGAAGTAGGGTTTTGTTTGGTAGTGCAATGGCTATGAAGTGGTAAGCTTGCATCTTGCAATCATTTTGGAATATATGGTTTCTGTGCTTAGGGAAGAGGAGGAATGTGACAAGCACATTGAGGAAGGGAGTTTGAGAATAGAACAGTCTAATGCAAAGGAGCTGTTACAAACTTTGTGGATTAATGGGAAAAAGAACCCTGCTTGGATGCCTAGACCTCTTCGTCACAGAATAGAAAGTTTAAAAATTGGCTATTATTCATCTTGCTACCTCAATTTTAAAACCAAAGGGCCAAATTCTGTTGCATTGAAGGCAATGACAACATTCCCATGCATTGGGATTTGGCCCAAATTGAATTAAAACACTGAATAACCTATGAGTAATGTATGTACTCAGCTATGGCAAGGCCTATATTTTGACCTCTCTTAAATACTAGTCCTAGGCAGATATAAAATTCAATACCCCTGAAAATATACACACTGTGGAAATCAGGATCTAGTCTAAATAATCTGAAATTGATGGCAAATTATAACACTAAGCAACTTTCTTCAGTGGCCATAGTAATATATACATGTTGCACAATTTGATAATAATAGATGTAAACCAAGCAAAATCTTTTCAAATTAATGTTTCTAATTCTAATCCTCATGGAACATTAAAATTTGGAGATTGAGAGGCATTTAGTGTCATTTTAAAATAGATATGAAAATATTTTAAAATGTGTTTAGAAGCATATCTAAAAATGAAAAATATCAATCACAAATAGTTTAAACCAGTGGTTCTCAAACTTTTTTTGTACCCAGACCCATTTGTAAACATCAATGGCCAGTCCTGACCCAGTGCCCCTCAATCCTGACCCACTGACCCCCGCCCCCCAAGTCCCAGCCCCCCAGTGTGTGGGGCATGGGGAGCACCAAGCAGCCCCTTGTAGGCTGGAACTCTGCCATCTTGCAAAGGAAAAGATAAAGTTTCCCACATTTTTCTCCTTTAAAGGAGAATCTGTTTTTAAAGTCTGTTTGTGACCCTTTCATATAATCTTGTGACCCGCTTTTGGGTTATGACCCACGGGTTGAGAAATGCTGGTTTAAACTTCCCCATTTTGTGAATACTGTCAGTACATTTTGGTAATCACTTCTGCACTGCTAAATATGCTAAAACCTTTTGATAAGCTATGATAAGGGTGATTAAAAATCATCTTTAGATTATGGAAAATATTTTAGTATTTTTTTTCTTTTTAGGATTCTAGTTCAAAGCATGTTTAATTCAGTTTTGGGCACTTTTTAACCAACGATTTGGCACTTTGAGATTGAAGTTCTTAGGCACAACGTGACAAAGTCAGTTTAGTGAGTCCTTCCCCATGCATTTTGTAGAGCAGCTGGAACTCTGCAGGCAGCTGGTGGGACTCCTGCCACTTGGTAGTAAACTTTGTTCCTTTTTTATCATAGTAATGGTACGGGAGGTCTTCCCTTGTGTTGGGATCAAATCCAAATGGCCAAAAGCCATACAAATGGATTTCTTCACATATAGCAGAAGCAAGGGTGTACATTAGAATACCTGTGCTCAGTCGCTTGGGTGACAAATGTTTATTTTTCCAATACCTGTGAAATAATAGAGACATGTTGATTCAGGTGCAACTTCTGTATACAACCATTTAATAAGAAAAGAAGATTTGATTGTGAAGAATGCCTATATCCATAACTGATCATTTGAATAAGATCTAGGGTATTGTTACTAGTGGGCATGTCTACATGAGATAGCGTTATGGCAAAAACTGTGCTAGTATGCTAGTATTAGTCTACTGCTCATTAACCGTCACAAAAAGCATATGATCACACTAATGCTCAGTAGGGCAACCTACTGCACATTTATTTAGTGCTCCTTTTGTAAGTACTACATTTAATGCTCAGTAGGCACTGTGCATTAATGAATGGGTAGATGCATTAATTAAGTCCTACTGTTTAGGCTTTAATAAAATAGCATGAATATAGCACACCCTGATATAAGACAATATCTTTGCATTAAGTTACCTTGGACTTCTTTGTGCCTCTCTGCAATGAAGCCAATTAGCACTTCTAATTGTTAGTCACCAAAACCCTGACCTTGCAACTAATCTTATGAAGGCAAATTTCCTGCATCAGTGAAGAAGCCCATTGACCTCTTCTAGGTTTCATATAGTCTCTATCTACCTATACAAAGACTACTGTAAGATAAGGTCTGAAGGTGAAATTCATCTTTGTGCAGACAGACAACACAAAGCTTATGCAGTCTGAGCCTGTTGCTGTACTCTGTATACAATCCCACAAAGAATATTTAGAATGTAAACTTGCCTCAAGTGCAACACTTTTTCTGTAAGAGTCACCTACTTTACATGATCATTTTAGCTATATCTTGGATTATCATTATTTACTGTCCAGGCTTAGGATGGTATAGTGGCTTATTCATTAGGGGTGATTCACAACTTTGCGTGAGATCAGGACAAAAGCTATGGAATCATTTATCTCCCACTTGAGCCAAATTAAATGGTACATTGGCCTGGTGATGGTCTTTGAGGGTTAATTTCACCTTAAGTACCAATTGTGTTCCTTGTGGAAGTCGAAGTCAATGCTAAAACTTCAAGTATCTTCAATGCAACTGGGATTGAGTCCTAACTGTTTAGATATTGTGCATCAAATGAACTGTAAAAGAAGATCATAAACAAATAGAAAAATAGGACTGTAAAAGACTTCAGGAGACCATTTGGTCCAACCCACTGCTCATCGCAGGTTCATTCCTTTCTCAACCATCTCATTCAAGTGTTTGTCTAATCTGTTCTTAAACTATTCTTTCACTACTCTAGGCAATTGGTTCCAGTGCTTAACCAGCCTCATTGTTACTTATTCATCATAGCCAACCTAGATTCAATGGCCAATTAGTGATACATGGTTTTATGAGTTAAATGTAAGAAAAATACACACCTGTTGACATGTTGCATTATATTCCCTGGCCAAGCCAACTGGACCTTTAATTGCCCTCTGTGCTCAACAAAGAAGTCAACCAATGTTCTTGTGACGGTTGCTGAAGTGTGGAAGAAAAAAGCTGGGATCCAAAGAATGGCCCCATCAAGCTTTTTTAAACTTAGAAAAAAGTTATTGCGATCCTGAATGGTCAAAAGGTTGTTGTAATACTTTTCCAGGATGCTGGGGTTGAAGGTTGTAAGGTTGGTTTTCCTTCCAACATCTCTCTGGAAAGCCTCAGTTGGAGCAAAATTACAACGGAAAACAAAATCAGATTTATCTATTTCTTGTCCACACTGACTCCCTGTAAGGATTCCACTATTTCCAACCACAGCACAAATGTTATAATGCTTATTCAGGATAGGTGAGACATCTGGAAGCAATGATCTGAAGTTATTGCTAATAGAAAAAACATACTTATGGCTGGAATAATCATAATGCATCAGCTGTCCAATCCGAACACTATTCTTGGTCAAAGAAAAATTTTTTATCACATCAACATGCTGAAGAATTTCTCGCCTAAAATAAAATACAGAAACAAAACAAAATATTTCATTAAGCTCTGCCCTTGCATACAGCTGAGTGATTTTCTTTCCTGTTATGATTCATTTTATTTGAAAAAAAAATTGAGTTAAATTAATCCCATTGAGGGTGGTGAGGTAACAGATTTCAAATGGATATGAACCAATGAGAGTTGTGACACCAGATTCTCCGGCAGTGTACATTTTCATAGCTTTACTGAATTTAATGGGTGATGCTGATTTCCATCAGCTGAGCATGCCAGAGCTCTTGGTTTACAACACTGAGATTATAATACTTGTTTCATTCTTTAAGTTGAAGGCATAAATCTGTAATGGGGCACTGTTTGCATAGAATGAATTCAATCTCAGGCAGAGGGGCAGCATAAAACTACATCCTGTTTATGTCCTACCTTGAGCATGGTAGTTAGATTTATGTTGGCTCTAGATTTCATACTGCAGAGCTTTGGTAAGGATGAATAGCTCATGTGCCAAGATGTACTCAAAACAGTCAAGAATATTCAATTGTATTAACAGTAATGCAGCTGAATTTTTAATACAAGTACTTTTTGTATCCTCATTAAGAAGCTTTAAGTCACAAAGCAAGTGGCATTCAATTGTGTCCTCCTGCATAAATAGCATTATTTTAATGTCTTGCTTAGGCAAGTAAATTGGAGTTTTTAAAAGGGTATTATGAATATTGAAAATGCTCAGGAATTTCTCTTGCAGAGAATAAAAATAGAAAGCAAACCATTACTGCCTTATCTGCTCATGTTTATGGAAAACAGCCTCTCTTTCAGCCTGCTAGCCTCAAATGTCTAAGCATTAATGGAATCCCAATGGATGCCCTAATTATGGGCTATTATTGCTGACAGAATAATGCAGAGGGAGACCTTGAGGCAGTAACTAAAATTAAGAAAGAGGTACAGCAAAGGCATGAGTCAGGACTAGACTATGACCTAGAGACTCAGGTCACAGTAACGGTTGGTACATGTTGACATCACTCCAGGGTCACTGAGCCACAACTTCTTCTCTGCTCCCTGCAGTTATTGGAGCTGTGGTCATGCAATATTAACCCATACTTGCAGAAGATGATTCCCCCAAACCTCCATTTGGCTCAAATGTATTGACCACTCAGTAGAAAGTGAGTTGAAGGAGTGCAATGGTGGGCACATAGTTAATCTCTTTTCTGTGTTCCTAAACCTAAGTTCCACATGAACTACATAGGGATGTCAGGAAGGTTTCTAGTCCCTAGATTGGTAGTGAATTCCAAGCCACAATCCAGCCATTAAATGCTGAAACACTGTAGGCAAATTTCAGACAAAATATGGATCCATTGGCCATGACAATAACATCTATTTTTAAGCAGAATTCTTCACTTACTGAAGAAAGGTAGGATTTTTCCTTGTTATATCACAGTTTTAAACTCGAGATGCATATCAATACAAATAATTCATAAAAAGACTGGCTTAGTTTCACCAGCATTAGTAGCATCACAAGTTAAAGAGCAGCAACAATAATAGAATAGAAACCTAATATTCAGTTCATGTACATGGGGAGCTTTGAGGAAACTAATGGAACCAAGACATAATTCCTCTTGAAATATTGTCAATTTGGGAAAGCTGAGGTAGAAATCATGATGCAAAAAATGAATTTTAATTGGCTCAGCATTTTGGATATGCTATAGCCCTATGGATTAGCTAATCAGAAAGGAACATGCTTGTCGAGCAGAGTTATTCTGCTGTCTGTGTGACTGAGAAGTTTCATTGAAACATGTTTTGCACGTCGATGATGATTGCATTCTGTTATGTGTTAGAATTCAGTTGTTTTTTCTGAGATTTTCTTTGGACATTTATCCTGTAGCAACAGCCCTTTAACTAGTCCTCTGATAAACTGGGTCACATTTGGGTTTTTTTGGTATACTAGTGCGTAAGCCACTGTGTGGATTGTCAGTGAAATAACACATCACCAGAATATAATGTGTTTCCTGTCCTATAAGTTATAACTTTTCTGACGCGGGGAGCTGTTCTGACGCAGTCTTTGCTTCTGAGGTTGGGCAAGTTACACCTGGTTTAGCATTTATAATTTCCTGGTTACCTTCTCCCCCCTCCCGCACTCCCTCACCAAATGATCAAACTAATACACCAAGGAAACCGAGCCTAGGCCTTCACAAAGCAAGTGGTAGCATTTGCTTCTCTCACCTTTGATGTAAGAATGCTGTTCTGTTAAAGGTCCACCTGGAAGGCTTTTCTTGTAGCTCGTGTGTCAAAGAATTGGTGATCGGCACAAAGGAAGGGTCCAGAAACTTCAGTGCAAACTGGGACCTGCAAAGGAGCATGTGTACACACACACACACACACACACACACATGCACACACACATACAAGAATATATACCCGTTAGCAGGTGGATTCAGGGCTTAAGCCCCTGATCCCTCTGCCTTGCGGATGATTTCATGGGAAGCCAACTCATGGAGCAAAATCTCCCCCTCCCCAGCTCCCCTCCTCCGTGAATCCGGGCGGAGGGGGCAGAGGGAGGCTTTGCACTGCAGCCTGCCTAAAATGGCCGTCAAAAAAATCCCTGCCCGCCTGGGATGGGAGGCAAGTGGCCGGGCAGCGGCGGCGCGCGGATCAGCACCGCGGACAGCGGCCGGAGCGCGCCCG